AAATAAAACAATTGAGGCAAAAAAAAATCTGAAAATTGGCTCAACTCTCCCTCACTTCCCTTATTGCAAGTAGATTTCTCCAGCAGTGGACGACGGTGGTCTTTTCCTGCGGTCATTCGGCTGGTCCCCCCTGCCTCATTGGTATCGACCTTATTTGTTCCTCAAACATTTTTTCCAATATTTTCCCTCAGGACGCAGAGCAAAAGAAAACCAAGATGCTGTTCAACACCGACTTGTCGTACATCAACAGAACGGAGCTCACCCAACATCAAGTGAATACGTACATCATCAAACTAACCGGCAAGGGAGCAAGACGCGTAGACAACACACAGATGAAAGCAGAAGTCGTCACCAGATATGGTCTTCAAGAAACCCACGTGGTAAATATCTACAGAACAATTTCATCCTTCAACATCTACATCACAATAGACAACTCAATACCCGAAACACTGCTACACGACACAGAATTCCAAATTGATTCTTACATACGAGCAAGTATACAAAAACCAACAAGAGAAAAAAAAAAAGCTGTATTTATCTTGGGTTCCCCCTTCATTTCCACCCGACGTGGTAGACGACATTCTGCATACATTCCTGGACAAGTCAAAACCGAAAAAGATCTTTCCTCAAAAACAAAATAACAACGCGGATAGGTATTTGGTACGTCGCGGAGTACGAAGATGTTGTCACCGGCTCATGGCACTCTGCCTCTGGATCAACTGGCCTTCAAGAGATCTGTTAGTAACTACTCCTGTGGAGTGCCAGGTCACTGGACCAGCAATTGCGTGTGTGTGAGCGTGTGTGTGAGCGTGTGTGTGAGCGTGTGTGTGAGCGTGTGTGTGTGTGTGTGTGTGAGCGCACGGGAGGCACCATGTCATTCGGCTGGTCCCCCCTGCCTAGTTAGTATCTACCTTATTTTGTTGCTTAAACCTGAGAAAGAATTTTCAATTCTAAGAATTATGCTTCTTGAATTTTGAGAATCGGTTCATAAATAAAAAAGTTATGGGGTTGTAAAGGTCGGCAAAATATGGATGACCCACATATAGGAAAATACTCCTAAAAAGTGGACCACGCAGTAGCAGATTCTGTAAGAAAATCGACGATATCTCGGTAACTAATCGGAGTGTTCTAGAGAAACTTGGCTACCCGAAGTGTTTTTGAGTGTAGAAATCATTTCTACAGTCAGATTTACTACCAATTTCGTAGTTATTTTGTTATAATTAAAATTGTGGTGTGCATATTACGATTTTGCGAAAAAGGGGTGTCGGGATGCGTCCATTTTATTTATAGCATCGTATCACAACATGGGATCTTTGAGAATATATGTCGGCAGCGTGACTAAATAATTGCAAAGCTTTTTATGATGACTTTAGACCATGCCAACCTTAAAAGATAAGTTAATTCAATCTAGCATGTCGTACAATTAAAAATTATTTTTCCCCGTTGAGACGCGAACCCCCGAGACGAGATAAACAATCGAATGCGCGCGCCCGCCATTGCCCTATTTCAAGTGACCAATGAACGGGCCCGGAATAGTCATACGGGGATTTGTAGGTCACATACATTTGCCACGAGAGTGAGGGGAAAATGGCCGGTCTCCGTGCGAAGCCGCTTTGGATTGGGGGGTAGTCGTTTCGGCTTCTCGGCCTTTTGGCTAAGATCAAAGTGCAGTATCTGTTCTTCACCAACTCCCAGACGACGTTGAGCACAACCAGGCACCCCTGCACCGAGGAGGACTCGAATAAGGTATACCCCGTTTTGTATCGTCCCGGTGCAGGGCTCTGTCCCTCCACCACCACTCCGCCGTTTGGGAGAAGCCAGCCGAGAAGCGGTCCGACCGGACCGTGACAGCCCCTTGACCGAGACCGACACCACCACCGCCACCACCACCACCAGAATGCCGCACTTCACCGCCCTCAACTTCGAAGATGGACCGACTAGACACCCCACTGGAACCCTCACCGTCACGCTCACGGGCCGATACTCTGGCAGCGTCCCCCCCGACACCATCATCCAGAAAATCAACAGCATCCACCCTACAGCCAAGATCAGAAAAATTTACAGACTACAAACATATTATACATACTACGTCGAACCTCAACCAGACACCGACCTCAGCCCCCTACATCTGAAAACCTTTAGAGAAGTGGCGGAGGGGACTGACGCCCTCTGCCAGATGACGGCCCGTGAGCGTCGCAAGATTCACCTACAGTGGGTCCCAGTGACCCTCACCGAAGACCACATCAAAAAAATCGCACAAACGTTCACCAGACCGGACACCCCTATTGACTTCCTCCCCAGGAGGTATGGCACCGACGACCGCCATATCCTCCTGGCGGAGGCGGACGAACAGGACATCCCCCACTACGTCAGAGTCTCGGGCTGCGGGCCGGACACTCTTTCCATACTAGTAACCATCCCCGGGCGCCGGATAGCGTGTATCCACTGCGCCCGGGACGACCACTACTCCTCAAAGTGTCCGGCCGGCAAGCCCGAGCAGACCAACGACGCCCCAAGAAGTTGGCCGATAAAATTCAGAACCTCCTTACTAAACTTTACTTCAAACAAACTTCAATCTTTGGCCGTAGCCTACTCGTCAACACCCTCGTCCTGCCGCAAATAAACTATCTCACACAGACACTAGACCCGCCAGCACACACCATACAAAACATCAACAAACACATCCGACAGTTCATTTTTAAAGGCACACCGAGTCGCATCCGACACAGCACACTGATACAAGACAAACAAAAAGGAGGAGTGAACCTACACGACATACGCACAAAAATCAAAGCATACAGACTCCAGTACATGAAACAGGTCATAGCGGACAAAAACAAACACAAAATAGCACACTACTACCTCGGCACACGCCTCAGTAAACACACACCGATAGACAACACAACACCACACCACTTCGGCTCGCTACCAACATTCCACAAAAACGCACTAGACACACTAAGACGACACGGCGAGGTAAACGAAACCACTCACAACACAAAAACTTCATACAAGGCTCTCGTCCTCCGACAAGCAACAGCGCTACACGAACAAATACCTCGGGGAAGGAGATATGCTCTTATCGATTTTTCCGAAGCCTTCAAAAACCTCTTTATTAAATGTACCACCCCACTTCAGAAACAAACCACCTACCGAATACTATTTTCTATTACCCCGACATCAGAAGGACAGAGTAAAAAAATCAACAAAATTATTCCCTGCAAAATTTGTAAAAAAAACGTTCAGGAAACAGAGGAGCATATCTTCTTCTCTTGCGCATACATTCAACCTATTAAACAAGCACTCACAAAAATGTTAGGCGCACCGCACAACACACCAGTAGACATTTACAAAGCAATTTTCCTCAACATGATACCGATAGAAGACAACGACACACACACAGTCAAACTACACATCTTATCATTATACAGGGACACCGCATGGCAAGCACGCCTTCAGACAACCTTTTGTAACACCCACCACACACCCACCACCATCATGCACATGTACACACACAAACTCATACACACACTAACGAAACACGATCAGTGGGCAACTTTTGAACGCATGACGAGCTGAGCTGTGGATGGAGAGACAGAGTGAGTGACAGAGCGGGTGAAAGGAAGAATGTATGAGTATATCCACAGGCGACAGAAACTAGCAGACGACGACGCGGCGCAACAACGACACCGACCCTCCCCCCCACCTGGCCTGGTCCACGGCGCAGCTCACGAACGAAAGGAATGCGGCTAAGGCAATTTTGCCAACTTTTTGTCCATAGTTCGCGGAGTGCAAGTGAATGAATGAGATTTTCTTTGTGCGTGTCTGGAGGGAGGGGGCGGGGTGTGAGAGTTATGCGGACGGGGATGAGCCGCGGGGGAGAACTTGTGAATTATCTGAGTGAGTGAAAGAGAGGGACGAGTTATGATCCCTGGAATGAGTGGATCCTGCGTTCTATTTTTTGTATACTTTGAAATGTTTTGAAATAAAGGCCGATATAAAGCCCCCCCAAAAAAACAGATACACACACATTCCTCACTCTCCACCTACACACCTACTACCACATACAGACACACTCATACATACACATGCATACACACACACACACACACACACACACACACACACACACACACACACACACACACACACACAAAAAAAAAAAAAGTATCTGTTCTTCACCACTCCCGAACGACGTTCGAGCTCAACTGACACCCCTGCACCGAGGAGGATTCGAAAAAAGGTATAACCCGTTTGTCTCGTCCCGGTGCAGGGCTCTGTCCCTCCACCATCACTCCGCCGTTTGGGAGAAGCCAGCCGAGAAGCGGTCCGACCGGACCGTGACAGCCCCTGACTGCGACCAACACCACCACCGCCACCACCACCACCACCATGCCGCATTTCACCGCCCTCAACTTTAACGACGGACCAACAAGACACCCCACTGGAACCCTCACCGTCACGCTCACGGGCCGATACTCTGGCAGCGTCCCCCCCGACACCATCATCCAGAGAATTCAAAGCATTCACCCTACAGCGCAGATCAAAAAAATATACAGACTACAAACATACTACACATACTACATCGAACCTCAAACAGACACCGACCTCAGCCCCCTACACCTGAAAACCTTCAGAGAAGTGGCGGAGGGGACTGACGCCCTCTGCCAGATGACGGCCCGTGAGCGTCGCAAGATCCACCTGCAGTGGGTCCCAGTGACCCTCACTGAAAACCACATTAAACAAATCGCCCAGACCTTTACAAGACCGGACACCCCTATTGACTTCCTCCCCAGGAGGTATGGCACCGACGACCGCCATATCCTCCTGGCGGAGGCGGACGAACAGGACATCCCCCACTATGTCAGAGTCTCGGGCTGCGGGCCGGACACTCTCTCCATATTAGTCACCATCCCCGGGCGCCGGATAGCGTGTATCCACTGCGCCCGGGACGACCACTACTCCTCAAAGTGTCCGGCCGGCAAGCCCGAGCAGACCAACGACGCCCCAACAACGACGACGACGATAACATACGCCGACCGCCTGAAAAACAACCCACGACAGCCCCACCAACCAACGACGAGACGTCCGCCGACTGACACCGCCACTGCCACCACCGCCGCCACCACCCCGGCCGTCGACACTCCAGCGCCCGCCCTCAACCCGACCGCCCCCACCACTCAGGCCGTCACCTCCTCCACCGCCGCACCCAGATCACCCGCCAAGACCCCAACGAAGACACAGACCCCAACGAAGACCCAGACCCCAACCAAGACTCCGACCAAGACCCCGACAAAAACCCTAAAACCACCACCACCACAAATACCCCTTGCCCCCCTCGAGGGCACGTTGACACCCCTCCCCATAAAAAACTGGGCCGACGAGACGGACAAAACACAAACGATAGAAAGCGACAGCGACAGTGAAGAAAGACCATTGACAATAGAGTTAGAAACAGACACAGAACAAGAAAAACAGGACAGACAGACGAAAAAAAAATCAAATCTACCTTTAAAAAGACAAAACTCCACCGACACAGCGACACAAAATCTTATTGACGCCAGAACAGAGAAGAAAAAAAAGAACAGAAAAAAATACATCCAGACGGACAAACCCCTCCCCCAGACGACACTAACGATGACATCTCTTTTTCATTTACTAATATTATTTCCTCTCCTTTTTATTCTTATAGAACGCAGGATGGCAGGCTTGCGAGTGGTAACCC